TTTTCACCATGGCTTGTCCTGTTGCTAGTTTGGGAATGCCAGTGTGGTGTGGCACTCTCCAGAGCTGTAGGAAATGTCTTGTTTTCTGTGAAGTGTAAACAGGACCATTGTCTGTTTTGATGGACAGGGGAAGGGGATCCCTAAAGCAGCAGAGGCTGAACCCCAATGTGCAATGGCATCCCGACCCCTTTCACCTCTGTGTAATGTAGCCCATCTTGCTGGTGAAAAGTATTAATGGTAAATGTACATCTTTTAGACATCCAAATTCAGGGATGTGCAAATTGATCAGTTTGCCAGACTTGCAAAGCATGTATTCCATGAGGGTTCATCCCCATCTGCCGTGGTGCAGCGTGGCCTTGGCAGTCAGTGCAGGTGCTAACAATGTTATGAGCCTCTGTGTCTGAGAGCCGGGATTGTCGTTGTAAGGCCAGAACCCCTTGGTGGAAGAAATCAGGTGATGCCTTTGCTTGTGCTGCCATGTCTGGCTGTGGTGCTGCCTGAGCAGAGCCAGCTAGCCAGTCTGCTGGAGCACTGTGCTCTGTGATGAAATATGGTACATTTGTTGTGACTTCTGATGGGTAATGTGTAATAGGGCAAGTTCTGGCCAGGATGGTATGACACAGAGTTTTTAGTAAGTCCAACATTCGCCACTCACCTTCCTCTTTCCATGGCACTACGGCTTTTCCTATTTAGCCTAGAGCTGTCAGTAAACACGGAAACACATTCTAAGGGTGTTCAGCTATGTTCCACATAAATCCAGAACATTTGTAAAATGTCCATTTTTGTAAAATGTCCATTTTTGTAAAATGTCATTTATGACAAAACCCACTTAGTTTGAGACTTAAGGAAGTCACAATTCCCTGAAAGAAGAAGGATCCTGAAACTATGTGTGTCTTTTAGATAATTACACAAAGAGGTGTTAAAGCATAGAAGATGCCAGCTCTAAATGCAGTTATAACATCTTATGAATAATGCCTATTATTAAGTCAGTAAATTCACATCATGTATTCAATATATCAGTGGCATCTGTCTTACGAAGTTGAGATAACACCTTTCTAAAGAGTCATGTACTTATGACAGTAAAATGAAACAAAGGAAAATGCTAAAACAGCTTCCAATCAATAACAGCCATAATGTAAAATCATCACTGACTCTTACTGTGTTACCTATGGAAGAGGAGACAGCAATTGTAACAAAGATTGTAACAAGCAATAGAATCTTTGACAAAATGCAAGTTGAACACACTGTGTTTCTTTATCCACAAACAGGTGTTTATCAATGTTTCATCATAGATGTTTTAGTCTGATTTATTTACCTCTTAAAAGAAAACAACTATATATCTTGCAATGTAGAAAAGTAGTATTTGGCTGCCTTAGACT